GAAGTCCCTCAGGCTGGAGAGACCAACACCGTGTAGTCTTTACATCCTGCTTTAGGGTCTCTGAGCTGGCCCAGCTGGAGGGTCTGTTGTTCTTTATATCCTATTTTGGATTGATGGTCAGTCCCTCCCTCCTCCATAGCAACCCTTTAAAACGGCCTCCACCTTGCAGGGAGAATGGCCATTGGTCAGGGACTCCCTCAGTTTTCTGCTTCAAACCCACAAACTTACCTTCATCACCACATTCTTCTTTATCTTTACCAAAATGAGTAGCAACACCCCCCCCCCCATCCACCTTGCACCTTGGGGCTGCCAGCCTTGCCTGCTCCAAGGCTGACTTCTACCTTCCATCTTGAGGTGATCACTGCTTAGTCAACCACATCTCTCCCATCTGGGCTCCTCTGTGGGTCCTACTTTCCCAGCATCCCTTGCATCCTGGAGCTTTATCTGAGCAGCCCCTAAGTCCCAGTACCTTACATCTGGACTGTGCCTTGATTTCTCAACTAGTTCCCTGGCTCCACTTCTGCCCCTTGCAATCCACTATCTGCAGACATGTGCTCACCTGAACACACAGTTCTGACCAGGCCATTTCTTCATTTAAAATCCTCACTACAGCCTGGGAGACGGCTTCAGCGGAAAGTGTTTGCCATGCAAGGCTAAGCACTAGAGTTTGGATCTCCCGGGCTCAGTGGAGGCAGGGAGTCTCCAAGTCAAGCTGCTGACCAGATTAGCAAAAACAGCAACCTCCAGGCTCAGGGGTAGACCCTTCCTCAATTTATAAGGTGCAGAGAGATGGAGGAAGGCACCCAATGTCAACCTAATATCCCCACATTCACGTGTACACATGTACACATGCATCCATTCACACACGGATGCAAAGCACACATATATGCATACTACCAAACTTGAAACAACCCTTCCCTAGCTTCCTCTCAGTCATAAGAAAGTGGCCCATGCCGGGTGGTAGTGGCGCACGCCTTTAATCCCAGCACTTGGGAGGCAGAGGCAGGCAGATCTCTGTGAGTTCGAGGCCAGCCTGGGCTACCAAGTGAATTCCAGGAAAGGCACCAAAGCTACACAGAGAAACCCTGTCTCGAAAAACCAAAAAGAAAGAAAGAAAGAAAGAAAGAAAGAAAGAGAGAGAGAGAGAGAGAGAGAGAGAGAGAGAGAGAGAGAGAGAGAGAAAGAAAGAAAGAAAGAAAGAAAGAAAGAAAGAAAGAAAGAAAGAAAGAAAAAAATGGAAGTGGCCCACCTGTTAAGAGACCCCTGAAGCCCTCGCCTGGCACCCCCCTCTCTGGCCTTCGTTGTTCTCACCTTTCTTCAGCCTCAGACACCCTCTCTGCTGTCTCTAAATTGCTAAGGCCCTTTGCTTTCCTGTCTGCGCTCCTCTTCCCAACCCTCGCCCCTCAGGGTCAGCTGCGTCCTCAACTCAGCATTTCTGGGATGTTTACCCATTTCTTCTTTTCCTCCTGAGGCTAATCTCCACCTCCACAGAGGAGCAAGCCGGCTAACAACTTGAGCCACAGTCCCCCTGATTAAAATCTTTTCATGTTTTTCAGTGTCTTGAGGACAAAGTCTAAATTCCTCCCCGGCTCTCAACAGGGAGGAAGAGCGGATGCCTCCCCTAATCTCTTGTAGTGTGTTTGTGTAGTGGCAGGGGGCTGAGTCAGCTGTGGAGACTGGGGTGGGAGGTGCATCGGGGCAGATTTCTCTGAGGACTGTTCACTGCAGGGTGTTGGGTGGGGTAGGAGGTAGGGGCAGCGAAGGCAGAGGGAGGGTGGGTTCATCTGCGGAGGAGGCTTTGCTGAAAGCAGGGGTGGAGGAACCTGACAAAGGGTGAGAGTGGACCGCAGAGTCTCAACCAGAACTCAAGGGAGGTGAAGACAGTTCGGAGTGTCTTCAAGAAGAGATAGCTTTGGAGAGCAGAGAGGCTAGCGGGCTGCCGATGGTGATGTGGGCTTAGCAGAGGCTGAGTGAAATGTTTGAAACAAGGCAGTGACAGGCAAGGACGGACTGCAGGCCTGCTTTAGTGCTGGAGGCGGTAGATGTACTGCTAGCTGGCTGCATTACCTGCCTCACATTACGGTCGGGTGGGTGGATGGCCGACCTCTACAGCCTTATGGAGCGGGCCATCTGGGACACGTGCTGTATTCTCTCCCTCACAGCCTTCCCTGGGAGGCTGACACCATTGCCACATGCTCAGTGAGATGTCTAAGCTGTGTGTCCCCTTCCTGTTTTCCAAGCTTCTGTGTTTCTGAACTCCTTCAATTTCTTTTTTCTTCCCCCCACCCCCTGCCCCCCCCCCGCCCCCGCCGGAGCTGAGGACCGAACCCAGGCTAGGCAAGCGCTCTACCACTACCACTGAGCTAAATCCCCAACCCTCCTTCAATTTCTTAAAAGAAATATTGAAAAGAGATGAGGCCTGTCTCAGCCAGCAGGAAAAGGGACCCCTCGCTTATTCCAGGTGGAAGGATGTCCTGTGGTCCCTTGCCTCCCAGGAGCTGGCCTGGGACTGCATCTCTTGGGAACCCAGAAAGAGTGAAGATTTCTCAGGGAGAGAGTTGAAGGCCTCAGGAGGGAAGGACTCCAAGCCAGGTGTGCCCTGGCCTTACTTCCCTTCCTGGCTAAGGGTGGGTCTCGCTGTCCTTGTGCATACATTGCCATCTGCCCAAGCCGCAGTGCTTCAGTCTCAACAAAAGCACCTGCTGCGCATTAGGCTGCACGTTAGGTCCACATTGGGAACAGGGATCAGTAGACAACCAAAAACCAAAACACTCTGCAAGGAGGAGCTTGACCCTGACTGAGTCTCTTCAGGCACATCATGAGCTCTGGGTTAGCATCTGCAGCTGAGGATGCTTTGGGCTTCAAAAAAGAGCAAGTCACCAATTTAAGGGACAGGGTCAGGGAGGGCTCCCTAGAGAACGTGGCTTCCCAGAGAATGGGGTCTTCAAGGATGAGGATGGAACACAGGACAAACGCTGGGATGAATGAGGGAATGTTGAAAGTGTATGGAAATAGTTGGGTGTGGCTGGTCCAGGAGGCAGGGAGAACAAGACACGTGGCATTAGGAAAAATTTTGAGGTAAAGATTTTAAGGTAGATTTTTATTTCATTTTAGTTGTATGAGGGTCACTTTAGCTCATGTGTGTGTCTGTGTTGTGTGGACTTGAGGAGTGTGGATAAAGCTACACAACCAGGACAAACACAAAGAGGTCCCTTCTGAAGAGTGTGGAGGTGTGTGTTGTCAGGCGGATGTCTATGAGGGGCTCAGAGGAGATGGATTGTTACTGGTCTTGGGGAGGAGACAATGAAAGTGCCTCCAATGTCTGGGACCACGATGAGGGCTCTAACTGGGATGCCGAGTGGTTGGTGGCACCTTCAGACCAGATAGATGTAGAAACCCCCAAGGTAGACGGCAGTGATCCCATTTTGAATGTGCACAGGGATGAAGCTCCATGGAACATCCAGAAGATGGGTTTCCGTTGTTCTGGCATTCTGGGACATGTGCTGTCTTCCTCCCCTGGCTCCGCCCACCTTGCCCTTCTCTCAGTTTGCAGCCCCCTTCCCCTTGTCCTCCAGCCCTGCATCTCTCCAGGAGACATGTTTGCCCTGTCTGCCAAAAGCAACTTTCCCCATCAGACCTGCAGCTCCACTGTTAAAAGTCATTATGAGTTCCATCTTGTCCACTTGGCAGAAGTATGCCTCTCCTGATAGGGGACAGGGGCTCAATGGCAGACCAGGACTTAATGGTGGTTGTGGCCTGCCTTGCCCACGTGAGCTGTCTTTGTTTCCCAGGTAGGGGAGGAAGACATACCCCTAAGAGGTGCGTTCTTTGCGGGGATGGGTCTAACGGCTGGCTGTAAATCAAGGTTGTCTCCTTCTATTACGGGAATGGAGCCTAATTGTAGGTCAATCTTGGTGAATAAATATTAGCAGAAACTTCTTAGCAAACCTAAACTTCAAGTGTGATACAGAATTTTCTTTCTTACAGTTTCTAACAAGCCTGGTTAAAGTACTACTTATCTTCAAATTGTACTACTTAGCTTCACATTGGAGGCAGTGCTCCTTTAGCGAAATTCTACTTTGTGTAACTTAATATTTCCCAAGCGAGTTTATTAGTAAATCCTTTATAGCAGCAGTACTCAACCTTCCTAATGCTATACCCCTTTAATATAGTTCCTCACGTTGTGGTGACCCCCCCCACACCACAAAGTTATTTCTTTGCTATTTCATAACCATAATTTTGCTACTGTTATAAATCCTAACGTAAATATTTGACATGCAGCATATCTGATATGTGACCCCTGTGACAAGTTCGCTCGACCCCAAATGGGCTGCGACCCACAGGTTGAGAAATGCTGCTTTATAGCATCACTTTTCATCCTTGAAGTTTCTCCTGCCTCAGCATCTTTTAGGAGGCAGGTCTCTGGTGTCTTCACATAATCTGCACTTTGTGTAGCAGGAAGTGGTAAAAGCAGTAGACTATGTTCCTGTTACCTGGAAATGCATACCACAGGAAGAGAGATCCCTTCCACAGTGACTCCAAGCAGGCAGTAACTTACTGCCTGAGGAGGGTTTGAACACCTCTTCCGTGCCTGGAACCCAGAAGCGGGCCACTGGTACAGCCACCACACGGATTGCAGGCTGTCCTTGTTTCCCAGGTAGGGGAGGAAGACATACCCTCCAAGCCATCCCTCAGGGAATCCACAAAAGGCAGACTATATAGGGCAGGGAGCACATTTCTAGAGAAACAGTCACCAATACCGGTGGCTAAATCTCCCTTTGAATTAGCAAGGGAACAAATGTGAAGGACTGGGTTCCCCCACTCTCTCTGGGTCTTCCCAAACCTGTGGAATTCTCTGGGCCGAACTTCCCCCTTCTCGCATGAGAAAAGAAGCCCCAGGTCTGGTTAAAGACAACATCATGGCACCATAGCCTGAACTCAGTGGGCTGTGGGGGTGGGGAGCGAGGGTCTCTGAGGTGAGCCGGTGAGGTGAAGACAGCTGCAGTCACCTTTTTATTGCACATTTGCCAGGAGTCCAGTCATCTCACTGAGGATAGCATTTAATCCCAACAAATCAACGGCAACACTGTTCTAAGAACTGAGGCAAGAGAGGCTAAGCCACCTCACCCAGGCCCCGGCTGCGAGGCTATAAGCTCAAAGGCATTTCCGGTCCAGGTCCATCTCATCAGGGAGCCATTTCCCTGTGCTTTGCCAAAAGTCACTCTCTCTGAAGAACAATCACTGGTCTATTCATGGGTTTGCAATGGTCACTTGTGTGGAGACCCTGGGTGATGTCATAGGGCAAGGCTGGAGTTGTAGGGTCTTAGAAACACAGGTCAAATCTTCAGGAATTCCAGACGTGCCTAGAGACCCCAGAACCAGGCAGAGAGCACGACAGTCCCCAGACACAAGCATTCAGTCCCAAGGAGGCATCCATCACTCACCTTCTCATGGTGTGGATGTGTGGGTACCCATGAGCTCCTAATCACATACTAGGCAATCCCACGGCAGGGGGGCACACCTATATGCACGCACCTGTGCACATCACGAGTTCTGGGGACACTGTGAGTCGGGGCATGGGAAGAAGGGTTCCATCTCTGTCAGATGAGGCTGGCAATGCTGGAGGTGGTCTCGTGACGCTGGCCAGAGGACAACTGTCCTGAGATGCTAAAGATGCTGCTGTTACTGCTGTGGCCATTTTGGGTGGAGGGTGCCGCTGTACAGATCGGGGGGCAGTGTCCACTCACACCCACCTGATACAGCAGCAAACCCAGCAACAAGACTGAGCCTAAGGAAGCCAGGGTAATGCCCACAGACAGCATGGCAGCCAGTGGCCGAGCCGGAGCCGGGGCAGCAGCCAGCCCAGCCAAGGTCAGGCCCGTGACCAGCAGCACAAAGCCACTGAGCAACACCACAACAGCATCGGCCCCTCCGCCGCTGCGCAGCAGGGCCACGTGCTGGGCCTGGCGTATACAGTTCATATCCTGCACGGCCGAGCTCATCAGCTGCTTCACCAGAACCAGCAGGGCCAGCAGGCAGAGCACAGTGCCCACAGCTAGTCGCCATTCGCCAGAGCGGCTGCTGGTGGAGGACAGCAGTGCCACACCGCCTGCCCCACAGCCAGCCACAAGGCCCACGGCCACGGAGAAACAGAGCAAGGAGCGCCGGGGCTGCTGGGACCACCAGAGCTCCACCTGCTCTGCCAGGACATCTGGGGGCAGCCCCCCGTCCACTGAGGCTTGTTGGGGCATGGCTTGGTCAGGCAAGGTCAGGTTAGAAGATCAGTGTTAGAGCTCCAAGGATGTTTATCGTGGCCTGGTGTCTCCATCCCCTGGTTGGCGGCTAGAGGCCCAGTCTCCTCCTCTTAGTCCGGGCTATGGTTACCATCACCTGCAGGACGGGAAGGACCACATGCTATCTCCCACCCGTCTGGCCCTTACTCACAGTCTCACCTGGATGTCTTAGGGAAGAGCCCCGAGGATCTTCCCCAGGGTCCACAGGACCTGCTCCTGAAGGCGGCAGCCCCAGCACTGCACCTTGGGAAAGCACCGCCCCTGACCCCCGCAGAGTTCACTCCATCACGGAGTTCCCCCTCCCCTTCAAGGAATCCCCTTGCCCAGCCCCTGACCTCTCTAGTTCTGGCTGTCTCCATCCAGGCTGTCGGAGGGAGCTGGTGCCACAGTGGATGATGGGACTGACAGAGATAAAGCCTCATTCAGGATCCGACACTCACATGGCCTCAGCTGTCACTGCTGGGTCCTGGATGGGAGGAGTTGTGAGGAGGGGAGGCTGGTGACTTAACCCTTCTGGAACCAGCAGGCTGACCCTGACCTTTCTCTCCTAGGGCTGTATCCTTCCTTCTCTGTGGGTTAGCACCTGACCCCTAACACACTTCTTCCTCTAATCCGACTCCATCTCGGTCTGGCAATCAAGAGGCAGGCTCCAGACATCTCTCTCCAGTGCTGATCTTCCTGCTGGGCCAAAGTCATCTCTGATGCAACAGGGCCCAACCCGAGTTCCTCATCTTACCCTAACCTGTTTCTCCTGTGTTGCTTCCTCAAGATGATACAACCATCCCTGAGCCCACCCAGGGCTCCTCAACTCCCTCTGCTGTTCCAATCCGATGCCCTCGGGGGCTGCCTCTTGCCTCTAAGCGTGTCTCTATCCAGTCTGTCCTCAGTTCTCGCCCAGAACCTGCTTCCTCCTCCCTCACTGACCTGATTGCTCCGCACTGGTCTACCCGGGCTATACCCTCCACATGTTCTCCAAGGCAGCAAAGGAGGGCTCTGGATTTGAACCTCAGCCTAGTCCTTCCCACCGTGGGAATGTGGGGAGGGATCTAACAGTGTTACTCATTTAACCTGTTCCCTAGAGGACAGGCAGCATGACTCACACCAGGTAAAAATAAAGCTCGCGCTGCCGGCCAGGAGCCCAGCTTCCTGCAGCAGGAGAGGCCGATCCTGTAGGAGCCAGCTGCGAGTCCAGCAGGGGCTTGAGTGGGACAGGGAAGGCCCAGTTCACGTCTTAGAGCCCTTATCTGAAAAGTGAGGAGAGAGGGGTTTATTCTGGGGAGGGGGAGAGCCATCTGACATCTTCCTTTCAGATTTTCCATGGGGCAAAGGGGTAAGAGATTCTCGGGGTGAATCAGAGGGGCCTAAGTCTTGGAGACCACATGGACCACACAGCCGAGAACGGGATTTTACTCCAAAGAGACGGAGCTGTCTTCCACTACCCCTCGGTCCTCTGCAGGGGTTGCTCAGCACGCAAAGTGGGCGTGGTAGATGCCCACGCCCCCACGGGTGGTGGGGGAGGGGCCATGGGAGGAGTCGGTCCCATCGTTTCCCAGCACTGTGGCTTGCTGGCCTGAAGGTGCTGGCACAGGCCTACCCGGGAACGACCCCAAGGTGGGTGGAGGTTCCCAGTAGTAGAACCAGTGGACAGGTGGGGGTGGAGCGGTTGGGGAGGTGTGGGGGCACTCACGAGAAGCCTGGGCTGTGCTGGATCCGATTTGGGCAGGCAGGGCCCAGCAGGTGGGGCGCTCAAGCTCCGTTTCCGGGGAGACGCTTCACCTGCCTAACCTGCATCCAGGTGAGCTGGAAGGAGGGGGATTAACAGGTGCTGTTTCCAGGGCAGGGCCAGAGCCAATTGGCTGACGTGGCCCGGCGCCTTCTGTGGGGCTGAGACATTCCTGGAAAGGGAGGGGCCCTTGTCTGCTGCTGTTGGGTCTGGAACACAATATGCAGACGCGGTCAGCAGGAGGAAAGAATGCTGTCCCTCTGCCCCGGTCTGAGCTCCAACCCACCTCCCCCAAATCCAACCGCACTTTATCTTTAGCCCCTCCCTGAATACCTACCTCCAAGCCTGCACGTAATCACAGTCCAGGCCTGTCCAGTAAACTTTGCACTCTGAGAGGCTGAGGCAGGAGTATAGCCCGAGGGAAGCACCACACCTGACCTGAAACCTCAGCTCCATCTCCTCACTCCAGCGGATTCTGGACTTGAGTTCTAAATCCCAACTGTACCCCCTCAGCCCCAGTCTTGACTTCTGTCCTTGAGTCTAGCCCCTCAAAATTCAGCTTTGCCTCAAAGTCAGCCTCAGCACCATAGTCCTACATCAGTGATACCCCAAACTCTGCTCCAGTATCTCCATCTTGAGCTCCCCCAAAGAAGACCTTGGTTTCTTTTACTTGAGGCCACAAGTGGGTGGCAGGGTCAGCCTGCCCCATGGGTGGGGAGAAACCTTTCAGGTGGACAGCTGGCGCTCCCAGAGTAAACACTTCTTGGATAAGTTCCACATCCCTTTCAAGGCACAGGAAGCCCTTGCCCTCCAGCCAGGGTGTCCTTCAGTTCTACGGACTGTCCTCTGTCCGCCTCCATTTGACCTGGCTGCTTCCGCTGCACTCCCGGCCTGTGCTTCCCCCACAGTCATCCACAATTGCTCTTCCTTGTTCTTAATTGCCCCTCAGTTAGCTTTCACCTCCACCCTCCCCACCCCCCAGATGTGTATCCCCAGCCAGTTCAGGGATAGCGACCAGATTACTGACGACCGTGATCTCAGCAGCCAGCACTCCGTAGCCTGTACATGCAGGGTGATCGATAAACGTTTGTTGAGTAGTTGGCGAAATAATAGTGTGAACTGGTGAGAACCCGGGTTCAAGTCCCAGCACCCACATGGTGGCCCACAACCGTCTGTAACTCCAGTTCCAGGGGACCTGACACCTTTACACAGACATACATGCAGGCAAAACACCAATGCAAATAAAACAAAATTTAAAAAACAAAACCAAAAAACCTGCCAAGGGGTAGTGGCAGGCAGATCTGAGTTCGAGGCCAGCCTGGTCTACAGAGTGAGTTCCAGGACAGCCAGAGCTACACAGAGAAAAACTTGTCTTGAAAAACCAAGGTGGGTGTGTCCCAACAGGTGCCTAATTTGAGCCTTGAGTATTTGGGAGGAAACAAGAAAGACAAGTTGGGCCCAGGCTGTATGGGCCTTGAATGCCTCAGGGATGCATCTGGACAATGCAGGATATCCACAAAGTGTTCTGAAGTGGAACAGGGACATGGTTCAGGCTCTGCTTCTAATTGGCAAATCTGGTTCTCAAATACCCTGCCGCAAGTTGCCAGAGGGTGGCTGGCTGGAGGGTGTGTGGACTGTCACATGTGTCCTCTCTACTCTAAATATACGTCAGTATGTTCTCTCTTCTTTTGATGTGTATGAAATAAAAAAAAACTCAAGACAAACAAACAAACAAACAGACAAACCGAAACCAAAAGGAAATCCAAGTTATCTCTTCCCATGACCTGTTTGCAGAATAACTGCCTGGCCTGGCTTCCTCTTCGTTTTGTCCTGTGCAGAACCCGCAGCCTCATAACTCCAGAACAGCGTGCTTTGTGTGTATATGTATGAGGTTATTTATGTGATTTGAGCCTTTCTGATAGCCCGTTTCAAAAGACACAGGTAAAATTAACACATTAAGATGAACGTATTTGGGGCTGGAGAGATGACTCAGTGGTTAAGAGCACTGGCGGCTCTTCCAGAGGTCCTGAGTTCAGTTCCCAGCAATCACATGGTGGCTCACAACCATCTGAAATGAGATCAGTTCCCCTCTTCTGGACTGCAGACAGAACACTGTGTACATAATAAATAAATAAATCTAGAAAAAAAATGAACGTATTTGCTGGGCTGTGGACATAACCCAGTGGTTGCTCATCCCTAGGTTCCATCCCCAGTGCTGCAAAAATACGTGTATTTGAATTCTAAAATATATTTTATTATGGAAGGTATTAATGTGCTCTTTGAAAGTCTTTTTTTTTTTTTTTTTTTTTTGGTTTTTCGAGACAGGGTTTCTCTGTGTAGCTTTGCGCCTTTCCTGGAACTCGCTTTGGAGAAAGTCTTTTATTATACATACAAAGTGTATCTCAGTTCAAATTAGCTACACACCAAGTACCCAGGAACCACCTCTGCCTGGGGCTGTGTCTTCACTGGGGAGCACAACTCTGGCTAGCTTTCCCCTGAAGAAAAATTTAGGGCTGGCTGACTGCTGCAGGGCAGGCTGAAAATGGGGGACATTGTATGACATTGTGGGTGTTAATCCTGCCACTTTGCGAAGCTTTGTAAATATGACCCCTTTATAAGAAACAGGCGGGGGAGAGCAGAGCTTGCCAGCCTGGATTTGCTCTGAACAACTGGAATATCCTGGTCCCTAGGAAAGTCCAGTCTCATGCTGGCCCGATGTCCAGCTGTCCTAGACAGAGCTGGTGCAAGGAATCCCTGAGCATCTCCTTCCTCTTTGCTTTCCCTTTTGGAGTCTGTAGAGGAGGAAACAGCCCAAAGCTTCCTCAGTTCAAACACTGGCCGGTGGAGATGGGGGAGTCAATGGCTCAAAGTTGGTGTTGAATTCTGTTCCTAAAGCAGAGGTTGTGGGAGCAGTTCACAGGGGCCAGAAATGGCAGGTCAGGAGGTAGAGGTGGCAGTGGGCATTCAGGGGAAGGTGTAGATCTGAGGGGGGAGTACAGGGGAAGAACAGATGAGTTGAAGGCCTATGTCCCTGCCTCTGTGAAGGTCCCACCTTCCCCTGTGCTCAGCCAAAGGCTGAGTGAGCCTGTTATGGTAATGTCACTGCCTGCTTGAGTCCCTCCCGTGGGCAGACTGGGTCCTTCCAGGATCTTTAAGGTCTTCTTGGATGTCATCCCCCTGCCTCAGAACCTGTGTGCATTGGTGGCTCCCTCCTTCCCTTCAGGAATGAGCTCAAATGTCACCTTTGGCTGTTAAAATCTGTTCCCGGGGGAGATGTAAGCTATGACTGCGCCTTCTCCTGAGGTCCCAATGATTCGATTCCAACAAAGTTCACTCCAGGAACCAATAAGTTTATTGGGGTTACTTCCAGAGCATAGGTAAGGGGTTAGTTACTAAAATGTGGGTGCTTCCACCAAAAGGCCGCACTGGAACATCTTTACCCAGCAGGGATGATGCCTTTCCTACAGCAACATAGATGGGGTCCCCTGTAATAGGTCCCCAGATCTTAGCACAACTGACTCCATGATGGAAGTACCATTCAGTCTGTAAAACTCAGCATGTAGACAGCAGCCAAAATGAAAACAAAGACCTAATCCACCAAAGTCCATCGTTCTGGGAAAGTCTCTAAGTGTCCTAACCTTCCTTTTTGGCTTCTGAGTTCTGCTTCTGACTGTTCTTGTTAACTGAAGTAGGTCAACCCAGAACATGGTTTTTGTGCTTAAAAGCTCACCCTGAGCAAAGC